TGTGTGTGTGTGTGTGTGTGTGTGTGTGTGTGTGTGAGAGAGAGAGAGAGAGAGACAGACAGAGAGAGAGAGAGAGAGAGAAATTCATTTACCAATCACAAGCAGGTAATGTTCCTCTTGCTTGATGAGTAGGGAAAATGTTGGAGTTGAGGTTTGATGGGTGACAGATGGAACAGGTGTGGGAGATGTCTTGTGATTGCCTTTTCTGAGAGTGTTAGGTGGAGTTGGGAGTTTAGAAATGTATAGAGAGCGGCTCTATCTGGGTGGAATAGATTATGAAGGTATTGTAAAATTGTGTTGGCTCAATCTGGTGGGAGCAGTCATTCATAGTTAAGAAGAGTTCATTCATCTATCTGGTGGAGCAGTGGCCTGATCTCTGAAGAGGAACTCTGGTATAAGATTTCCAAGGGCTGCTTGCTTTGCTAATGAATCTTTTGTATTATTGGAGATGAGATGTAGTCCCAGTTGGTTTAATGTCCCATACTACTGCTTGCCGGGGGCAGGAGGGAGGCTTCTAAAAGTTCTTTAATGAATGAGGTATTGATGATGGGAGTTACTTTTGGGTAAGGAAAACACTTTCTCTCCAGATGAGGATATTGGAATGAAGTATGTTGTGGGCATACTTCGAGTCTGTATAAATGTTGACTTAATTATCTTTGGCTAATGTGAGCGCCCTAGTTAAAATGACAAGATCCAACTGCTGGGAAGTGGTTTTGGGAGCATTAGGCTCTGGTGGCTTAATGCGTAGGCAGCTGCGCGGTCAATTCACCAGCTGCTCTAGGAGAAGAATGGGCAAACTGCCCTGCGATTTTCAGAGGGGAAAAGCCACCGGAGGACCAGCTATGAGGGTCAGCACACACAGGTTAGATCAAAGAGCAGTGTGTGAGCATCCCTCCTACCCACCTGCCCACGTGGAGGGCACGCCCCTTCTGCGTCACGGGGCGGGGCCACGCCTGCCCTATGGAAGAAGCTGCGGTGGGTGGGCGGGGCGACGTCAGTCCGCAGCTGAGCCCGGGGATTGGTGAACAGTAGTTCGGTGGACCTTGGCGATTGGTGGGCGGGGCGACGCCGGGGCGGGGCGGCGCACGTGATGCGGAAGTCGCGCTCCGTCTGCCTGCGGTAAGCACCTCCGGGTCGGATCACGGGGTGATCGGGGCCCTGGAGGAAAACCCCACGATCATCGGCCAGGTGTGGCCGGGGCGCCGTCCTGATCCAAGGGCTGTGAGGTGGCGGGGGCCGGACAGTGGAAGCCATTGGCCGTGATCTTGCAGGGCGGCCACCGGACCATCAAAGGCTCGTGGTCTTCTTCACCCTTCATTCTGCCTTGTCCGCAGAAGCCCTCAGGGACCCCCCCGCCCCAGATCCTAGGTCCAGCCTTCCGGAGTCCCCCATCACCCAGTCCCAGCCTTCAGGAACCCCTGCCAGGAGACAACCCTTCTGCACCCTCAGACCTCAGAGTCCTCACCCCTACTCCTAGAGGGTGCCCGGTCCTTGCTCAGAGGGATCCCACTTGCGCCCTGGGAGTGTACAGTCGGCCACACCACTATAATGTTCATAGTTGAGGGGAGAGTGAGGTCTGGGCTTTTGGGAGACCCCACAGGGGTGGGGATCATGGCCCACAGAGAAGTCAGGCTTTCCCCTGAAGAACAAGCCCACACTGGTACACAGCTCTGGGTTAAGGAGCATCCTTGGCTCCCCTAACCAGCAAAGGTGTCCCTAGCCACTATGTTGGGGTCCCTTGCCCCTTGAGCAATAAATATTGGAGTCCTTAACTCTGACCAGTGGGTATTGGGGAGTCTAGCCCCTGACCAGTGGGTGCTGGGTCCCTAGCCCCCAGACCAGATTTAGGAGATGAAGTTGAGAAACTGGTGAAATTCCCCAACTAGCCCTTGTCCTGGGGCGGGATCTCGCTCCATCAGCCTCAGTCACCTCAACTGAGGAGACCCCTGCTTTGCCTGTTCCAGTGTCCTGGAGGTTGTTGGACCCACAACAAGGGCCACCCGACACCCTCAATCAGATGGTGAGGGCTGTTGTAGTGCCAACCGGTAATAATGCCCTGAACACCCCAAAATGGGGCCTCCTTTTATCATGTTGTCTCTCCCTTAACCCACTGCTGAGGAATTGACTCCTACTCACAGCAACTGTGTAGAACAGAGCACAAGTACCCTGTAGAGTTTGCATGACTCTAAGTCTTAATGGAAGCAGCCTCCTCATCTACTTCCCAAGCAGTGGCTGGAGGTTTGAACCTCAGACCTTGCGGTTGGCATCAGTTAAATAACCACTGCACCATTGAGCTCCTTAGGATCTGTGCCTTTGGATGACCTCTCCCTGGGCTACATGAATGTGAAACTGTGATATGGGCATTTATCAAATCTTCCATTAAGGAGAAGGGAGGATTAGGTCTCTCAGGATAGGAGAGAGTCTCTGCTAGGTGGTTCCTGCTGCAATGTCCCCTCACTGCCCTCTGGCACTCATGTAAAGGCCACTCCCTAGGAACTCTGGGCCCCTGGAGGGCGTGAGGCTTCCCTTTCTCTTGAAGGGACGGTTTTGTTCAGGTCAATGTACTGCTTTGACCCTGATCATCTTCACTCAGTGGGGCACACATAGCAGTCCCTCATAGTGGCTTTGTCCCTGGAGGAATGAAACCTGCGCTGCCCAGATTAATGGATTAACAGATGAGCTGTACTTTTACCCAGCCTGGTGCCTACACGCTTGGATGCACTGTCTGGGCTGTGGACTCTCCTCTGGGCAAAAGCACAGCTTGATAGTAATCTTATCTCTGAGAACCTGACACTGAGCCCCAAGCGCTCTAGTTCCCCAAATTAACCAGTCAGAAGCAAGAGCCTCCTTAGCACCCCTGGTGGCAGGTAGGAGAGTTCCTGAAGCCGAAAAGCCCCCGCCTCTAATCCAAGCCCACAACTTCTGTCTTCAGAGGCTGCAGTCACTTCCTGGAAGGTCCTGTGACCTTGTCACAATCCTGAGCTGTGGGTGGGGCTGCACTTTAAAACATTCATCAAGTGCCTCCAGGACTGGAAAGCTAGTCAGCGCCTCTGGAGACACCACCACCGAGAAGTTGCTTGCTCATCTGCCTGACTATGTCGCCCCTCTCAGAGCTGTTCAAGTACATTGACGAGAACCAGGATCGCTATGTCAAGGTAAGGGTACTTGCCTTAGCCACTGGTAAAATTGGAGCTTCTGGGACCGTGAGACTCTCGGGAGCTAGGATCCTCTCTGTACACTTGCCTCCAGCTTCTCCTCCAGAAAGGGGGGTGTTACACTTGTGATTTTCAACAGAAGGGACTTAATGTTTCTATTACATCACAGCCAAGCTGAGAGCGATGGTTTGTCTCCACCAAAGCAGGCTTGTGCTCAAAGGTCACAGCCTTCCTTCTGTTTCAGCAGTTAAGAGATATTGACAGAGATTCCACTGTTTTATATCTGAATCTACATTTGGTGATGTTTCAACTGTGTTTTAACATTCATTATTCTGAAACAAATCTTGAATGGATGCTATAGTTTTCACTAAAATATATCCTGTCTTAGCAAACCTGACCATCGCAGACGATCCTAAGACTCTGGATGTGTTGGCTGTTTCCTCTCCCTTCCTGATTGGAATTCTGTCAGACTTGGAATTTGTGGACTTTAATTTTACTTCACCTTGTAATTTAAAGTACTCATTTGGACATTTTCTGTTAGGCTGTTTGGCTTGGTGGTGGTGTTGTTAGGTCACCCTATGAACAGCACATCTGAGGCCTGTCCTGGGCCATCCTCACACTTCCTGACACACTTGAATCCATTGCTGCAGTCACGGTGTCAGTCCATCTGGTTGAGGGTCTTCCTCTCCTCCACCTTTCCAAGCACGATGCCCCTCTCCAAGGAGTAGATGGTCATGCTGGCTACATGCTTGCTTCTAAAGACCCGCTGTTGTCACGCCTCCTCCAGCCCTGGGAATCTCCCATCAGGGTTGCAAGTGTGTAAATCATACTTTCCCCGCTGGAGCAGCTGGTAGATTCGAGCTGCCCCAGATTTGTAGCCGCTTGGTGAGCAGAGCGTCGTGCTACAGAAGGGCTGTCACAAAGATACTTGGAAATCCTGAAAGTGACAGTTATGGTTGACTCTCTCGAGCCTGTTTGGGAGCCCTTGCCTCGAGGCTGTGCCACTTCCAGACCTGGTGTGTGTCTCCCACAAACAGAAGCTTGCAGAATGGGTGTCTATCCAGAGCGTGTCCGCGTGGCCCGAGAAGCGAAGCGAGATCCGCAGGATGATGGAAGTGGCAGCTGCGGACATCACCCAGCTGGGCGGCTCTGTGGAGCTGGTAGACATCGGGAAGCAGACGGTAGGGGCCAGCAGCTGGTGGTTGGTCAGTGGGAAACACATTTGTCACTCTGACACTGGCCTTCAGTTGTCCCTCAGGCCTGGAACTAGATTTCATTCTGGTAGCTTAGCTTTCAGCCCAAGGACAGATAAGGTGACCCTCAGCCCAGCGGGGTGGGCCAAAAATCCATCACAGAAGAGATCAGAGGAACGGAATTGACCCAACCACAGGATTTTTCTTTTGTGTGAATGGCTCAGTTGAGCGATGTGATCTGAGATGGGTCAGGAAACCCAGGCAGCCTGGTGGGTATTCACTGCAGAGAATGCTGTCTTCACAGACTGCCCTGTTTGCTCTCCCAACCCCAGCTCCCTGACGGCTCTGAGATCCCCCTTCCTCCTGTGCTGTTGGGCACGCTGGGCTCTGACCCCAAGAAGAAGACTGTGTGCATCTACGGGCACCTAGATGTCCAGCCTGCCGCCCTGGAGGACGGCTGGGACAGTGAGCCCTTCACCCTGGAGGAGCGAGACGGTAAGGGGACCCCAGCCTTCCCCCGGCCCCACTGCCCTCCTAGCAGCTCTGGGGTGATGTGGCACTGGTGTTTGTAAGTAGTCTGTGAACAAGGCTCCAGGATATTCTCAGAACCCTTGTTTCTTGGTTCCTCCCAGACTAGACCCCTTTCCTGGCACCATGTTTCTCAGGAACCAGCCTGTAGCTGCCGCTGGGTGGTTTGAACAGGGGCAGACCAGAGACAGACACATGCCTGCCCCTCCCTCCTGGACCTGCCTCCAGCAACCTGTGGAGCCACTTCTTGGCCTCCTGCCCTCGGAAAGCCCTGGGATGGGGGAGGAGCTGTAACCTGGTGTCCAGCTCAGGGCCAGATGCCCATACTTGGAGTTAACTGTAGGTGCCAGGGCTCCCGGTGACAGACAGATGGGTGTCACTGGGCTGCTAACTAAAAAGACCTCTGGAGGTGTAGCCTGAGCAAGCCGTGCTGCCAGCCAGAGGTCACATACGCCCGGTTGTAACCCCGCAGCAGTTCCTTGGGTAGGAAGGTGGGTGTCCCCGCCCGCTGAGAATCATAGCCTTGGTCACAGAGGGTCACCGGGGCAGCGGGGTGTGCCTGGTTTTAGGGTGTGGGAGTAAGGTAGATCCTGGGTGGTGCTAGGATGCTAACTGGAAGTTTTCTGGTTCAAATCCACATGACTTTGGGTTGGGTCCTGGGTGGAGACTATCTCATAGAACAAGGCCAGCCCCAGCCGACAGTTAGTCTCTTGAGAGATAGCCCGAGGTCCTGCAGTCAGGGTTCCAGGGACCAGACAGCAGCTGTCAGGAGTGACACAGCTCCTGCTTTGCATCCTGCGCTGACCACCTGGCCCAGCTGGGCCCGCTGCTCTTGGTCATCTGATGAGGGGACAAGGGATGTCAGACTGGCTCCAGGTTGTCTGATGGGCAGGCTCCCGGGGTGGGGTGACCATCTGTGGTTTTGGCCATGGTCACCTATGGCTTTTGCTTCTGGCCGTCATTCCCACCTGCGTGGCCTCCAGCCGGGCTGGATGTGAGGGTTTCCTGGAATGCACACGTTCCTCGCCTGACCATAGGAAGGAGCCGGAGTCAGTGCTCGGGCCATGTTCCCATGGAGCGAGGGCCAAGGGACAGTACTGTGGCACGGCCTCTGGAGTGTCCAGCTCTCGTCCTGGAAGGAGGATGGCGACTGGATAGTGAAACGGGTTTAGGTGGTGTCCACTGAGTGACATCCGCTTTATGGTCCCCTCCTGACTGTGGCCCTGACCTTGTGTTTTCAGGGAAGCTATATGGGAGAGGCTCCACAGACGACAAGGGACCAGTGGCCGGCTGGATGAATGCACTGGAAGCCTTCCAGAAGACAAACCAGGTGTGTTCCCCTGAGGGGCCCACGTGACTCGACTCCCCTGAGGTTTGTGAGAGGCAGCACTTCCCACGCTGGTGCCAGCCGTCACTCAGCCCAGGCTTGTTCTGGTGTCTCAGTGAGTACATGCTGGAATGCTAACTGAAGGTCAGGGGTTCAAGTCCACCAGCCCCCCTGCGGAAGCAAGATGAAGTAGTGTTCTCCCATAGGCTTACACACTGTGCTTAGAGCCAGCTGCGTGTAGTGGCTGCTAAGTGAAAGATCAGGAGATGTTTTGCATTTGGCAAGTCTACTGTCGGGGACCTCTCCAGTATTGTGGGGTTACTCTGAGTCGGAATCGTTCAACCAGCGGGTTTGTGGGGATGCAGGTAAAGCAGGAGCCTTTGTGTCCAAGGGCTTGACTTGAACTTGCTGAGACTCCTAGGACCCTGGGGTGGGGCTGGCTCAATGAGCAAGGAGACCCTGGTTCCTGTGGGGACAGATCAAGAAGGAGACCCTGGTCTGGAGAGTAGATAGGAGACCCTGCATCCCGTGGGGACAGAGGACAAGAGACCCTGCTTCCCCTGGGGACAGAGGCCAGGAGACCCTGCTTCCCCTGGGGACAGAGTAGGAAGGAGACCCTGCTTCCTGTGGGTACAGAGCACAAGAGACCCTGCTTCCCATTCCTGTGGGTACAGAGCACAAGAGACCCTGCTTCCCATTCCTGTGGGTACAGAGCACAAGAGACCCTGCTTCCCATGGGGACAGAGTAGGAAGAAGACTCTGCTTCCCATGGGGATAGAGTAGATACGAGATGCTGGTTCCTGGGGGACAGAGCAGGAAGGAGACCCTGCTTCCCCTGGGGACAGAGTAGGAAGGAGATCCTGCTTCCCCTGGGGACAGAGGCCAGGAGACCCTGCTTCCCCTGGGGACAGAGTAGGAAGGAGACCCTCCTTCCCGTGAGGACAGTGGACAGGAGGCCCTGCTTCCCCTGGGGACAGAGTAGATACGAGATGCTAGTTCCTGGGGGACAGAGCAGAAGGGAGCACTTGCCTCCTGGAGGGACAGATAGGAGACCCTGTGGGGACAGGAGGGTGGGTCCTGCAGGCCTGAGCGGGTTGTCTGAGGAGCAGTTATGTAGGGATTTATGGTTCTGGGCCGGGTGGCCCCTAGCTGGTACCCCTCCCTGCCTGACAGGAGATCCCGGTCAACGTGCGCTTCTGCCTGGAGGGCATGGAGGAGTCAGGCTCAGAAGGCCTGGACCAGCTCATCTTCAGCCGCAAGGACACCTTCTTCAAGGACGTGGACTATGTCTGCATCTCCGACAACTACTGGCTGGGGAAGAAGAAGCCTTGTGTCACCTACGGCCTCCGAGGCATCTGCTACTTCTTCATTGAGGTGCGCCTGACCTCCAGCGTCCAGCTCCCCAGCCCCAGACGGACACTTAGCACCCCTGAGCCCGTGCTGTTCCCCCGTCAGTGGTCAGGGGTGCATGTCAGCCCCTGGGCACCGGGCAGTGTTCACGTGGTGTGACGTTGAGTTAGGGAGAGCAGGTGGGTGCCGGTCCACATGACACCAGCCAGCTGCCGTGTCTACAACATGAGACCCCTGCTGTCCTGGCCCGCAAGTCCTGGCCCCGCCCTTCTGAGAGGCACAGTGGACAGAGGGGACACTGCCCACATTGGCTGGTACTCCCCACCTTTTTGTGACGTTTCCTCAGGGTGTGGGAACCTGGCAGTCCCTGGCAGTGCTCCCCAAGGGCAAGTGTTCATTGTGGAAGATCCCTCCAGGTCCCTCCAGCCCTGCCCAGCGCCGGCACTGATGGACTTTCCTTGCAGGTGGAGTGCAGTGACAAGGATCTCCATTCGGGCGTGTACGGGGGCTCAGTGCATGAGGCCATGACCGACCTCATCAGCCTGATGGGTGAGTGGGGGTGGGAGGTGTGGGCCCTGACAGCGGAGGTGGGGGTGCATGTCCTGGGATGGGGGATGGGTGAGGGAGTGGAGGATGGGAAGGGGTGTCCTGGGATGACAGATGGATGGGGGAAGATGAGAGTGGGTGTGTGTCCTGGGAAGGGGGATAGGTGGGGGTGTGGAAAATGGAAGAGAGTGCATCTCATGGGGTGGAGGATGTGTGAGGAAGTGGTGGAGGATGGGATGGGGTGTGGGATGGGTGAGGGAGTGGAGGATGGGAGGGAGGTG